CACATGATCACAGTGAATACACATGATCACAGTGAATACACATGATAACAGTGAATACACATGATCACAGTGAATACACATGATCACAGTGAATACACATGATAACAGTGAATACACATGATCACAGTGAACACACATGATCACAGTGAATACACATGATAACAGTGAATACACATGATAACAGTGAATACACATGAATACAGTGAATACACATGAATACAGTGAATACACATGAATACAGTGAATACACATGAATACACATGATCACAGTGAATACACATGATTGCAGTGAATACACATGAATACACATGAATACAGTGAATACACATGATTGCAGTGAATACACATGAATACACATGAATACAGTGAATACACATGATTGCAGTGAATACACATGATTGCAGTGAATACACATGAACACACATGATTGCAGTGAATACACATGAATACACATGAATACACATGAATACAGTGATATAAGTAACGTTATAAGTATATCCTATATCGTGTATGTATACAGTGTAGAACCATGCATAATAGTGCCATTACATGGGGTCTTACATGAAGTACTAACCCTAAACAAGGGTGGCACCGTCGAGACGGAGCCTGCGTATTTGTTGGTCAGCTTCGGAAGTACACAGGTAGCCCAAGTCTAATCGGTAAGTTTTTCCCGGCTCCCGCGCGCGTCGGATCATTAACATTTTATTTTACTGCATCTTACTTTACTTTTTGAAAGCTTTGGTGCCCACCAGTTTGTAATCATGAGAAAGTTTCTTGAGGACTATCAATGAGTGAAAAATGGTAAAAATCGCTGTTTCTCAGCTTTTCACTCGCAAAATCATGAAAAACCGCTTTCCGAGGGACGTTCGGATCTCGATTTAGTGAGTTCGGAAGTTCTCGGAAACATTTTCGGCTTTCCGGATAGCGGAAAGAAAACCATGAACATGACATATATATCATTAACTATGATGGCACTATGACATCGGGAGAGATATAGTTCACATGTAGCCAGTCCAAAAACTCTACAATGAATATGAGTAGAGTTCGTTTTTCTTCTGAAGTTTCCACGGACGAAGACACTGCTTCCCATCAAGACAACTATCACGTCGAAGTATACGATGAAGCTCCTATCGTTCGTGGTAGTAACCTACGCGTGGTTCAAGATTATAACGATACCTTCATGGAAGAACCAGATATTTTAGCGCAGTACGATGACTTCCATACTATCGACTGGGTTAGGGATAGACAAAGGGATCGTACGAGGTTTCGTCGCATGAAACGATTGAAGCATGGGACAATATGGGAGCGAATAAAGCAGGCAAATGATGCATGGGGTGGTTGGCTCGTGGTCTTTCTCGTGGGACTATCAGCTGGACTGTGTGCTGGAGTCATCGATATTGGATCAAGCTGGATGTCCGACCTGAAAATTGGAGTTTGTCCTGCGAATTTTTGGTTTAATAAGGAAAGCTGTTGCTGGTCAGATGATACTGCCTTTGATGGTAGTGATGATGACTGTAAACAGTGGAAAACCTGGGGTGAGATTTTTACTGGCGACAGTAATTCCTCAGCGTCGTTGTATGTATTGAATTACATTGTTTACGTACTGTCATCACTGGGGTTTGCATGTCTAGCTGTGGTCCTTGTTCGATGGGTTGCACCTTATGCATGCGGCAGTGGTATTCCTGAGGTAAGATTGATTGATTGATTGATTGATATAATGCTATGTAAGAGCCAATCCTTCCTACCCCACCCCTCCCACCTCAGCAGCATTTAATTAACCCAGGCATCTCATTTTGCTTTAGGGGTCCCCTAAATTGTATTTTTTTATAATTTGGTGGGCTACATGTGTTGGGTACAGTAGATTAATTCAGGAAAAATGAGTGACCTGGAGCTGAGGTGGGGGTGAGGTACGTAACCCACCCCCTCAAAACGACCTCAAAAAAAAAGTGATTTATGATGGAATCCCTAGAGATTAGAGGTAAATGCATTACCACTAGACCTGCCATAATTCCTAATTCCGCTTACTGTTTCACACCAAGTTTATGATTATTTTTCTTCATAGATCAAAACAATACTAAGTGGTTTCATTATCCGTGGTTATCTTGGAAAAATGACTCTCATGGTAAAATCAATGTCCATGATGTTGGCAGTAGCAGCAGGGCTTAGTCTTGGCAAAGAGGGTCCCCTTGTCCACGTAGCTTGCTGTTGTGGTAACTTCTTCTCTTATGTGTTTGCAAAGTACCATAGAAATGAAGCCAAGAAAAGAGAGGTTTGTTTGGTTTATTTTTAATGCAATTTTCAATATATCATGAGCTCTGTAGTTGAGAGTTGACATTGGAAGCTGGTTTTTCACAGCTGGAAGTCAAAAATATAAAAGACACCAACTGATCAGTTTTGATTGACAGAAGGGAAAAATAGTCATTCAGTGCCGAATTTATGGAAATATATTTTGCTACAAAAATTCCAAGCTTAGGTTGCTAAAGTATGAACCATGTACGTGTAGAAATTATAGATATAAAAAGATAATAGCAAACATGGATTATTTTTTAAAGGTGCTATCTGCTGCAGCAGCTGCTGGTGTATCAGTCGCATTTGGAGCTCCTATTGGAGGTGTTTTATTTAGTCTTGAAGAGGTAAGCAATGTTGCTTTATACTAAAAAATAAAATGTCTGTTTGGAATTCTCTCTTGCTAGGTTGTTTTTTATGTACCACGCTCCTGGCCAATCATTTCATTCAAAAATTATCATGTTTTACCCAAACAAATCAGTCAGCCGGTACAGATTCATTGACTCTTTTTTACTACTCTACTGATTTCCTGGACACCAGAGGTTCTAATTTGCTTTGGATAGATTTGTATACAAGGGGCTGTAGGTGTAATTGTTAAATATAAATATGTTAAATAAAATATTTGAATTTAAGTCTGAGTGAATCATGTATATTTTCATCATTGTTCAGGTCAGCTATTACTTTCCAATGAAGACACTATGGCGGTCATTTTTCTGTGCAATGATAGCAGCTTTTACATTGAAGTACATGAACCCTTATGGCACTGGGAATCTTGTCATGTTCTATGTTGAATACGATACCCCTTGGAAACTCTTTGAGCTTTTACCATTTGTTTTTCTTGGAGCAGTTGGAGTAAGTATATTCTTCAATATATTAATAAGTTATAGCCAATGAATGGACTACCATCAATCAAATAATCAATTTAGTCAAATCCAACTAGTGTTCTAATGCTGCATTCTGACTGTATGAGCTACTACTAGGCTATTAGATCCTACTAGTAGTAAAAAGTGCCAGCTTTAAAAATCAAAACTAATAATAAATAATATAATACATAATATACCCTCAATTGAAGAATCATTGTCTGGTTCAGAAACATAGAACATAGAAGCTGAGACCGAAATGGCTAATGGGAAATGACATAATTATATTATTATTTTTTTATTTGCGCCATCCATGCAGTCGGTTTAGAATGCCAACGGCATATTAAAAACAATGGATGATGCCACGGGCCGACGGTCACAGCATGCATCTAATTAACATACTTCCCATGTGCCATTTCGGTCTCAGCTTCTATGTTCTTTGTTTCTGAACCTGACGAGGATTCTTAAATTGAGTATATACTAAAATTACGATCATGAATGTCTAACACTGCAATAAATTATTGTTTTAGGGTATAATAGGTGCCATATTCATTAAAGGCAATATATGGTGGTGCAGAAAAAGAAAGAACTCCAGATTTGGTGCGTTTTCCATTGCTGAGGTAACAGATTAATTAATTTTGTGTGCTACCACAGTTTCTTAACTCAGCTTGGACTTTATACTGTTTATTATCGTTTTTAACATAAAAAGTCACATATTTAACATTTTAAGGTATTGTTGGTAGCCGTGGTAACAGCCTTCTTAGCATTTCCTAATCCATATACAAGGTAATATCCTTAAGATGAATACTATATATGATATACATACCTCATTTTAATCTTTTATCACTCTTAAAAGGGTAGATGTAATGCAACACAGAGATTGATGGACACAGGATAATTTTTAGAAGGGGTACTGCTATTACCACAAAAGCATGGAATAGCTTCTTTAGAGTTACCTTATTCTTTGTTCTTAAATTTTAACACACTATAGGGTTGGCTACCCACCCATATCTCCCCCTGGATCTACCCTTGCACAAGTCACTGTATTTAGTCACTGGATTTATTTGAAAATCTCTCCTGTTCACCATCATATACTATGGGTATGCTATATAAAAGTGTTAGGTCTATAATCACGTATGTGACCCTCCTCTCTGTATGGTATGTTTTTGTGTGATTTCATTCTTAGTTTATTGAATATATCTTTTCCTAGGCAGAGCAGTAGTGTGTTGATACAAAATCTTTTCAGACAGTGTGGACCAGAAGATAAGTCTGAACTTTGGTAAGAACCCTTCCTTGAAACACTTTTTTTATTTTCTCTGATAAATTTACATTGGCTGCCCCTAATTCTTTTCTGGCAAGAAAATAAGTGACCCCAGTGATAGGTCCCTAAAGCTATTACCCCTCTCCAGCAGCAGGGGGAAATGGGAAGGGGGGTGCATTTTCCACTGTAGGGTGGAGGGATAAGATTGTCTGTACATGGGCTATCATCTATAACAATTTATGAAGAGATAGAAAATGAGCGCATATGCTAGGTTGAGTCATGCAAGCACGCAGGAAATTGCGTGAGTTAACATAACTCAACATAGCACAAGCAAGGGGAGTTTTCTATCTCTTTTATAAAATAACTAACAAATAACATCATTTCCTCACGATCTATGTTGAGTTATATAAAACGCTAATTGACCAATCAGAGCGCTCTTTATATAATGCTATAGTGTCCTCAAATGCCCTTCAACAAGCTATTGGTTTAAACTTTTCATGTATTCATACAAAATGCTTTGTAGTCCCAAGAAATAACGTAAATTAAAAAAGAAATGTTCTTTTCACAGTGAATACATCACTAATAACAAAACAATCAATGTCAACGACCCTCGTTACCCAGGAGCAGAAGCAGGGGATGGAGTAGTCACTGCTATCTGGCAACTCTTACTTGCTGCAGCATTTAAGTTGCTCATCACTATTTTCACTTTTGGTCTCAAGGTAAACTATATCGATATAAAACTCAATCAAAAGATGTCACTCTTTCTTTCTGTCTCTCCACAAAATCTTAGTTCGCTGCCAATATGTTAATAATATTGTAGTACAGTATGTACTTGCCTTGGATCCAGAACTTCAAAAAAGAGGCTTTTCTTGACAGTCAAAGGCTGTCTTGAGAAAATAGCATCCTCTCATGGGATTTACAACTCCAGCATGGTCGGAAAGCCTAACAGATTTCACAACACACTTGATAAGGCAGCCAATAGATCAAATTAGAATTTAGAAGTTGGTGTTGAATCTGGAGAAAAAAACACTTGAAGGAGAACCAATGAACAACTCTACTCACTTACAACAGAGAGCAAAAGGGGGCACATTAACTGGCACACCACCTGCGCTTTCCCTAAAGCTATTAATTGTTGTTTCTGTATACTCTTCTCTACCTTTAAACAAGTTTTTTTTTGACAATTTCATTTAGGTACCAGCTGGTTTGTTCATACCAAGCATGGCTATCGGTGCTTGTATTGGCAGAGTTGTTGGTATTGGAATGGAACGATTAGCATTGTACGTAGAATGGTTTTGAGTAAATTATTTTTGAATGATTATAGCATCACAATACCTTACAGAAAACACTGTTGAGAAAGGATGCAATATTCTCCCATGCCTGTTGCACCTTTCTGTTAAAGAAAACTGTAGAACCATAAAGAATTGATCAGACAATTTTGATTTAATTCATTGGATATCAGGGCTTCTTTGCAACATGGATAGTCTTATTACTTGTCCAAAAATGCCCCACCCTGATATTTTATCCAAGTCAAAGTCATTACTCCATTAGGCTTATTGAAGAAATAGAGAACACACAAATGTGCTGACAGTGTGCAGTCATAAARCACTTAGGGATTGGCAGACATGACCTAGAGGTGTTAGGAGAAYCACAACATTTAGCAGAGTGCTCTATATTATGCAGTAATTTAATTTTGTGGGTTTTTTTTCAGTTCAAATCCTGACTGGTTAATTTTTTCATCATCATGTGGAAAATCTATCAATGCATGTGTTACTCCTGGTTTGTATGCCATGGTTGGTGCAGCGGCTGTACTGGGAGGAGTTACTAGGATGACTGGTATGCATTGTTTAGTTACTCAATGATATTTAGAAATAGTGTAAAAACAGTGTTCTTTAGATCAAGGGGTTATTTCAGATCTTTAAAAAAAGACATTGTTTTTAAAGCCCATTTTAGAGACATTTTCACTCCAACAGTGAGCCAAAATACACATTGATAGTACTAGTTTTTTTATTTGACTTTTCCAGTGTCAATGAATATTTCTAAGAGTCACACTACACTTAAGAGGATCACTAAAAGAATTAATTTGAGTTGTAGAGTCCTTGAGGGGTCAAAATGACTTCTAAATGACTGTAGAATCACAATGCCTCTCTTGAAGGTGTGGTTTAGAGGCCAAAAAAAAGGATTCAGACTTTGAAGAGGTCAAAAGTAATCCTTTATTTTTATAGTGTACAGCTGTTTTTTCTCTCCCAATTGACCAACTTACTGGTTTCTTACATTATTTTTTTCTTCACTGTCAATTCAGTCTCTCTTGTTGTAATAATGTTTGAGCTGACTGGAGGACTGTCATACATTGTACCTTTGATGGTTGCTGTCATGATAAGCAAGTGGGTCGGTGATGCCTTCATCAAAGAGGGAATGTATCCTTTATGAATCAAAAAATCTAGTATTTCCTTTTACTACCTTTTTTATAAACATGGGAACTCAGTAGCTACAAGCTGCACACAGAAATTTGGTTTTTCGCTGCCACCAGTCAAAAATATGAAAGATACCAACTAATTAGGTTTGATTGACAGCATTGAGGGAGACACTAACAGTCACAGAATGATGAGCTTATGGCCCTCAATGATTATAATCTTGTGACAGATTTACCTTAACAATATTCTACAGCTATGATGGTCATATTCATTTAAATGGATACCCATTCTTAGACAGCAAAGAGGAGTTCACGCACACTACACTTGCAGCTGACTGCATGAGACCAAGGTCTGTTTTGGTTTGTCTATTTTGTCTCTAAACCTATGGTTCAGTCTACCTATGGTCTATCACAAATCCTGTGCTTTGGTTGATGTACAGGTGGTCTATCAGCGATAGACCACTATTAGCAGAAAGTGTCGATTTTGAAAACCAAAATAACTGCACCTAACTCATGTTTTTGACCCATTTGTATCCATTTATTTGACCCTTTTAGTAGATTTAGACTAAAGCAATTAGACAATTCAGGCTTCATGTCTAAAAACTTTTGAATTAATCTTATTATTCTTCAATTATTTTTCTCAGGAAAAATGACCCTCCACTGACTTGCATTACACAAGATGGAAACACAGTTGGTGAACTTGGTAGGTTTAATAGAGTTTTGTTATTTTTGTTAGTATTTCCTCGCAATCAAGAACATAGCGTTTTAATCTATTTGTCACTTCATTTCAGAACAACTCATTGAGGAATCTCATTTCCGTGGTTTTCCAGTTATAGTGGACCAAGAGTCTCAAAGACTGATTGGATTTGTTCTCAATAAAGATTTGAGAATCGGATTAAGTAAGTATGATGGTCAGGTATTTGTATCCCTCTGTTACTTCTTCTAGTTTTTTCTCCCTCCCTTCCTCCCTTTGTACTTCCTTCCTTACTCCTTCCTCCCTCTCAACCTTTATACTTCCTTTATTATTCCTCCCATTCTCCCTCCCTCCTTCCTTTCTTTCCTACGTTACTTGCTTCCCTCCATTCTTCCTCACTCTACTTCCTTCAGTACTCACTCGTTTGTTCATTTATTCATTGCAGAACATGCGAGAATTAGAAATGAAGATATAGTATCTGCATCCAAAGTTTACTTTACAGAGCATTCTTCACTATACAGTTCCCCAGGTCAAGCTGTACATCTCTCACTTCGACATATCTTGGACGTGGTAAGCATTAATTTCTCTTCTTCCTTCAGTGACCTATTTTATTCACATCTTAAAAACAATGTTAATATTTTCCTTACTTCTACCATAAAATTATCACAATTACATAACTCAACTCGTCCCAAAGTATTTAAGTTTTTGGCTTCCATCAATCAATAAATTCTAACTCACAATGATGGGAATTTCATTGACAGAGCAACGCGTACCTATGAACTGGGTCTTCTGAAGAAGAGTGCAAATATCTTAAATGTTTTTTCTTAGCTAATTTCAAAATACTTCCAATGCTTTGTTGTAGAGTCCGATTCAAATCACTGATAAGACGCCCATGGAAACAGTGGTGGAGCTCTTTAGAAGAGTTGGACTTCGACAAACTTTGGTCACACATAACGGGTAATTATGACCAAAACCAAACATCAATTATATCAAACCCTGAAAAAACTTAGAGTCATGGCAGGGCTAAGTAAAAGATTACACTACTCTTTTTACAGTTCCACTCAGTGATCACGAATAATAGTTCCTAGCCGAGGCTGGAGTTTCCGYGCATAGCAAAGCTACAGTTTATCATGCACGGAAACTCCAGCCTCAGCTAGGAACTATTATTCGTGGTCACTGAATGGAACTGTAAAATGGAGTATTGGAGTTTAGAGTAAAAAAAAACCACTCAAATAAAGGGAGAGATCTAACAAAGTATTGTCACATGAGATGTCGAGCCCAGGAATCCAACTCGAGACCCCAGAGGTGAGGGAAATGTTCTACCGCTAACTCACCCTTGACTCCATGGAGGAAAAGCAAAAAAAAAAAAATCTTGAATGACGGTACAATAAAGGATAAATTTTTTCTTTGTAGGCGTTTGCTTGGAATCATCACAAAGAAGGATGTTTTGCGGCACATAGCAACGTTAGCCAATCAGGATCCAGAGTCCATCCTGTTCCATTAAAAGTTTCCCAGAAAGCCATTCGAGTGCACACTATTATTCACGATGCATGCGGCTATCGAGTTTCATTTCAAGGAGATGTTTGTACATTTTGTCAAACATTGTGACCATCTTTCGTGGGAAAATGATATTCATTAAAACTAGAATGCCTTGTAGATTTAATAAAAAGCTACTGCTTATGCGCAGTAAATATAACAAACTACTGAGCATGGTAAATGAAAACTGTTTCTGGCGGCTAATAGCGACGAGTACGAGATAGAGTACGAATACGAGTTTTAAAATTGATCCTGTGCACGTGGTTAACACTGAATCGTAGTCGATTTCCGATTTTTTACAATCTAAAGTTTCAATCTACGTACACGATCACGACTACAAAAAGATAGTGCCTCTCTTTAAAAGCTCAACAATCGTACTCGTTCTCGTACTCGTCGTCGGATCTAAAGGTCTCTAATATGTATAGGAAATCGCACGATCTCGAGTAGAATTCGGAATTTATAGGTACGAGTAATGTTTTGAAAGTTTTCAAAATTGGACGAGTTCAATTTGAGAACTTTGAAAACATCATGAGTCTCTATAAATTCCGAATCGTACGAGAAGATTGTGCGATTTTTTGTTTATAATACACTAAAAAAAAAATGAGCAACTTAAATGGGATTCTAGAGAGTACAAGTTGGGATTTAATTGTACTCCTCTTGTCCAATCATAATCGAGTAATTTGGTAGAGTGAGATATATCATACTTTAACGTGAGATTCAGGAAATGTAAGGGTGAAGAGTTTTTAAAGCTATTTCAATATTTGCTCCAGTGGCGGATCCAGGATTTTTCAAAGGGGGGTTCCGTTTCTTAAACTGTGTATAATTCTCTTTAGTCGATGTCTGACAAAAAAATTGACTCTAATCACCTAATTTAATATCTAGTAACGGAACTTAAAGGTAAATTAAACATTATAACAGCAAATATCTATCATTTCGTGTTCAACATTATCTTTGTGGATACTTTTAAGCAAAATTTATATAAGACATATTTCTATTACCTAAAAGATCAAACCTACAAGGGGGGTTCCGTGGACCCCTTCGACCCCCTGGATCCGCCACTGTGCTCATTCAGTACGATGGACCATTCTCAAAATTGTCTTGAATTGAAATACAAAAGGAATGCTACGAATTCCATCGATAAAAAGTGGGATTCCTTTTGTATATATCTTAGCTTCTCATCCAAGTACTTCTTTTTGAGAAGGGTCAATTTGTCAATGACGAATTGAAGGACCCAAAGTTGTCCAGTAATTGAGTCACTGGAGAAAGAGATACCATATTCTCAGAAAGAAGTTAAAATTTTAGACAATATGACAATTCATAATATGATTTACATCCTAGCATTCGAGCCTGCAACAGAAGTACTATATATTTGTGTTGGAAATTAAAATAAATAATTTAAAATATTTTTACAAACAATATATTCGTATAGTTGTTATTGATGAATATGGTTTTACTAGTGGTAATTGACCGTCCTTTTGAAGCGTGTGAACTAGTGTTAACCGACCG